ATACAGTTATCATATTTCAGCTCTCAATTCTGCTCAAGATGCAATCACTTGCAGATGGCATGTTTCTTCAACTCCATTCGTTAAAACTCACATGCTACCTCTAACTTCATGTTTGGTCATGTCTGATAACCTTTTTGGACTCTTAACATCTTCATATACTATTGGTGGTTTTGTTACCTATTCCATTTTTTATTTGTCATAAATTAATTAAAAGTCAACAAATCAAATTAGCTTTATTTGGAATCAGAACTTTGATTGGAGCTCAAGGTGGATTAGGTTGGTATATGGTCAAGAGTGGTTGAGATCAAACCAAACTGAACAAACAAGATGGGATTCCTAGAGTGTCTCAATACCAATTAGCACATCATTTAGCCATGGGTTTTATTGTTTATGGTTCTTGTTTAAGATTAGCTGGTGGGATCTTATTACGTGATTGGAGATTGTTTTATCTAAACTTACCGATTGGTGGAATGAACACTTCGGTTTTGGATTCTGCAAAGTTTTTAAATCTAAAGTTCCTATGACAGCTTGTGGATTGGTTCATTCAGTCACCGGACTTGTGTTTCTTACTGCTGTCTCAGGTATGATCTATTCTTATTCATTTCTTAATTCATTCAAACAAAAAAACTAGAGCTAACTTTCTAATGTTTTTCATGAATGAATATTTAACTTAGGTCCATTTGTGGCAGGATTAGATGCAGGATTTGTTTATAATACATTTCCATTAATGGGATATCATTTAATTCTACCTCAATCTGAATTAATCTCTACAACCATAACTAATTGAAATGAAGGAGGACAGGATGGATCCAAAACATATTTGAAAACCCAACAACTGTTCAATTTGATCATCAAGTCTTAGCAAGCATAACATTCACATCTATCTTTGAATTATTTTTAAAAAGAAATCTTGCTTACCACCTTCAACTTATTATTGGAATCAATCAATGATTAGAATGGTTTTGATTCAAGTTGGATTAGGGATTTCTACTTCAATTTATTCGGTACCTACTTCATTGGCTGCGGTTCATCAAGCTGGTAGTTTAGTTTTACTTAGTTTGTCCATTGAAACTGGAATCTCTTTACGTAAACCTAATCATAGCAAGGCTGCCACTATACTATACTGTACTACACTGCACCATACTATACTGGACCTGAAATATACTTGGTATAGTATATTTCCGAACATGGTATAGTATAGTGCAGTATAGTATAGGATAATTGAAATATACTGCAGTATATTTATAAAAACTTGTCAAAAACTTGTATGGGTGTCTTCCAGGTATGTTTGGTAAATCCAAATATACTGGGTATATTTTCAGCATAGTATAAGTATAAATATACTAGTATATTCCATATAATGCCTAGTATAGTATACTTGAAATATAATATACCAACAGTATAATATACTGGTATAGTATAGTGGCAGCCTTGATCATAGGACCTTTTTACAATATCTTGAATTGATGAAATCTAATAAATCTCATTCACAACCTATAGAATTTCATAATTTTGAAAGTAATTAAGTTTTAAAAAAAATATGAATCAAAAAGTTTAAAGCGAAAATGGATAGATATTTGTAATTTTTTTTCCTTTTGATTGAGTACATATATAATTTGGTTTTAGTTTGAATTTCCTACTCTTGTAACTAATTTATCATTTCTAATTCAATTATAAAATGATGTGAATTGATTTGAAATCAATGACTATCTTCATTTTGAAATTGTACACATTGAAAGCCACAACAGCTTCCAAAGACATTGCCCTTCATGGTGTTGCCAGCAAGATAGAAGACAGGGCCTCAAAGATGTATTGAGTAGCTCCTCCATTTGATTGAAACCCAACTTGTATAAGAAGACTAATTCTGCCAAAATGAATCACTTCTGGAATCTTGGATATATGCATTCAGCTTATATCATGTTGTGTCCAACCAATTTTGAGTATGATTAGTGTGTTGTTTTGAAAAGCAGGAAAAGGATTAACAAACCAGCAGGGTGATGAAATGAAGAAAGATAGCAAGTCTTTAACAAGATTGAGGTGTCAAGCTCCACATATACTGCTCAGTATCCTTTTTGTTGGTCTAATATGAAAGCTACCTCAATCAAAACCTCAATAGATCATCTCCTTAAACATTTTTTTGGAATGAGCAATATCACAATAGGTCTTATTGGATTATGTTTTTAGAAGATTTTTTGAAGACTCAGGTCTTTATGATTAAGGAGATTATCAAGATCAAAGTCCTACTGAACAAAAGTGTCTAATTTGCATTTGGTAAGGCTTTATAACTTTAGTCAATGTGATTTACTACAACTTTGATGAGGCATCCGGAGTGATTCTCATTTTGAGATCACCAAATGTGATGTCAAAACAAGGATCTATATACTTAAATCAATGTCCCTCTCGACGGTTGCTACCCTATCCCTCATCTTGACCCGGCTATCCAACTCTACGACATATCCCCCGATCCGGTGTGGTGATCTATTTATGATATTAAGCAAAAAAATTAATCATCTTTACTTTACCAGTTTATTAGCAAACTTCAATATAGCAGAGAATTCGAAATTCAGGTTTTCAGATCAATTGAAGCTCTTAGAGGCTTATGTATACTTATTAGCTCATTATTATGTCATCTTATTTCAAAATTATTATTAAGATCAACATAGTTTACTTACAAAGTTATTACAAAAAGACAGAAAAAGAAAAGATAAGAAAAATTCGAAAATATAGGTGTAAAAGTTGGAAAATGGTTTTTAGCTTATTTATAATTAAGTTATGGGTTTTATAAGGTTAGAATATGAAAGAACAACAGTTTATTATACAGGAACAATTTTAATATTCAAGGTTGATAAGGGGAAACAGAGGTTATTAGCAGAAAGGTACTTTTTCGAAGTTGGTAAACAAGGGTTAGGCGTGTAGTTTACATATGTAATGGTGGTAGTGATGGAATTTAAGGTTTCCAAGAGGATTTTCCGGGATTTTTAAGGTTATAGAAGATGATGTCATATTACATGAGCAAGGAAAAGGGAGTAGCAGCTGTGAAAAGTGAAGAAAATAGGTGAAAATCGTCGAAAATGGAGGTTTTCAGCTAATTACATATGTCAAATGACGTCAGAATAAGTTGGTAGATGGCTCATTCAACGCAGAAGAGTGGATTACATAATGTACAACCTTTGAATCATTAGTAACGGAGGTGTATGTAAAAAGTTATAAGGGAAATAAGAAATTGGTGTGAATCTCGAATTTACAGTCACAAGACACATGTAACACCAAAAACCTTAACTTCACAACTCAATATCTTACTCATCACTTATCAGAAGTAGGTCTTATAGGTGTCAGAAATGATCAGTAACACGTGGGCTACAAGATGCGCTTTAGTAATCAAAAATTGGAGCACATCTGAAAAAATTCGTAATCTCAAAAATTGGGTTTCAGCTAGTTTACAAGGAAAAAATCACCTGTATTCATCTTAAGAAGTGCTGTACATTACATCATTGCGTCATTGATCACTTTTGGCTGTGAAAATTACATCATACATTAGTAACAAGATCATTACATTGCGTCATTACATGGTTTTTAGGGTTATTTAGGCGGATTTGATTGGTTTTTGAGGCTGTTGACTGTTGTAAAGATTGTTACATGTGGATATAAGTACTCCTTGATGATTTTGGGATTGTAGCGCCCTTTTCTGCATCTTATACCTTTGTTGTAGTGTTATAAATCATCATTTATTTACTATATTTGTACTAAGATCACTTAAATCCGCCCCTTCAAAAGCAAGGAGAAATTTATTTACGTGTGTTAAAGACTACAAGTCTAATTGGGAATAATACTTACAACAGTATTGCTAGTAATAAACATAGTGTGTGACTTTTTTGCGCTTAAAATCTGGGAATAATACTTAACAACAGTATTGCTTTATTTCTCTGGTGCCTTTTATCCTTTTCTCTGTTATCACAAAGTGGTCAGCAAGTGCCCTTGTGCTGGTTTCTTTGAAGAAGGCAGTCTTTAGGCAACTTCTACTATATTACACGTAGTAGATTATCCCTTCTTAGGTGTTGTAAAGCTCTTGTTGAGCTTTAAATACTACACCGGGCCACAACCCATTCTTCAGACCCTCTTCCTGCCCATCCTAGCCCCGTAACCTCTACGCCCTACTCCTGATGGTACCTCCTCCACTGCAATTGTACGCTTCTACCCGGTTGTTTTCTCTCCCGGCCTCGGCCGTCCTTTACCTTTCCATCTCTACCATTTGGTCTTTTAACACCCAACGCAGGCCAATTCTTCTCTAATCACGCCAGCTCCCAAAACACCAACCCTCCTGTAATGTCCCTCTTTGCTTTTGTTGCCCACACACATCTTACTGTGTTTGTCCCCGAACCGCTAGCTACCCCTTTCCAACATTCAGTCGTAGCAGTCCAACTCAACCAAACCAGGTCAAACCAGCCCTCTCCCTATCCTTGTCTACCATGAGCACTGCTGTCTCTATCTACTTCCGTCGATTCCCATTCTACAAACGTCTGCCACTAGCACTTCCAACTCAACCAATCCAGTACCTCCAGCAGCTTATCCTTCTCTTTAACGCCTTCTCAACTCTCTACAATCCTGAGAACCTACTCTCAATTCCCGCCACTCGACCGACTGGTTCACCTCCTCTCAACCCGTCCCTGCTCTGTCATTAATCCCCTTCATTATTCAGCCAACATTCAATTTCAATCTTAACCACTTATCCAGTTCTACGAACCAATATTACAATTTTGACGCCGACCAAATTCTGCTTCAGTCTGCTATAAATACCCCTCCCAACTCACTAGGCACTCACCTGCTTCCCAGCGCATTGATTATACACACTAACTGTATCCGCCCCCGCATTATATAAATCGCCTCCTCCCCAACATTAGCATCATACCCCATCATTATCTACAACATCACACCCATATCCTTTAGAACTCTTCTGCCTATTAACCCAGTCACCCACTACTTTGATTACTATTGTCCTCTTCATGGCATCTACTTCTACCACAACTTTTGGAAACGCACCCGCTCGCCCCTCTCACCCTGTTACAGTCTCTGGTGTCGTTGAAGTTTCAACATTGGTATGTCCTCCCTGTCTTCCAAAAACTTCCACACCTACTTATCACCCCGCGCTACAGCTCCCACCCGCAGACAACCACAATTACACCTATCGCTCCTGCACGGCTGCCATCACCTGCAATGAATGGGATTCAGACAGGGAGGCTGAGTACGACGGTACCTTTACTGCGTACTGCTCTTCTATTGACGCTCCCGTTGATGGTCACTGTTACGTAATGAAATCCCGGTTTTTACCCGACTGCCGTTCAGCCGACTACGCAATGTATCACGAGGCTGATCACAGAATTTTAGTCGGCACCAGTGACTCCTTCAGTGGAGTCCTCAACAATAATACTGCACTTACTGGTCTCAGTATTGTCAACTCAAAAACTACTATCCCCGATGACGCTACTGGCAAGAATACACTCTGCTTCGTAATGCAGCACATCAACTACAAACCCCAAGTATGTTTATTTGATTTCCTAAGTCCACTATCATTTATTGACCTTTCACCATAGATACACGAAGATTACCAATTTGAAATTGAATACCAAATACGACCAACGCGCAACCTCCAGAGCGCCCAGGGCCTTATCCAAGTCGGTCGCGAAACCCTCATCAATGGATTCATTGTTGATTGGGACAATGAAAACACCCGCTGGATCGTGGAGGTTCGTTCTGAACACTTTACCCGCAAAAGACGATTCTGACCATTGTAACTCATTGAACAGGTCACAAGTGTTAGTAACTGCACTGGTCAAGCGGACAGTGCGAACAAGAAGATCACGCCGGGTGGCCAAGTGACCCCGTCAGGTCGTGTGCGGCCCGCAAAGTATGCGTTTTTTTCTCCCTCTAAGAGTCATTGATTCTGATTCGTTTCCTCTCTTTGCAGACATGTCCCCAGTGTGACGCCTACAAAGTCAACCAAAGCGCCAAAAGCTACCCCGGACCCTAAGGGCAAACGCAAAGCCGTTAACCAAGAGCCTCTCGACTACTTAGAAGACGACCTTGACTCTGAAGAAGAGGAGGAAGAAGAGCCAGCCCCCCCGCCCAAGGCCACTCGCAAATCCCCCAAGAATCCCGCCAAACCTAAAGGCAAAAAAGCCAAGGAAGCCAAAGAGTAATTCTTCCCAGCTCATTTTTGCCTCGGCTTCTCTTCGCTCCCTACTTACTACTCTGCCAGACTATTATTTATGATCTATCAATATTTCTTATTCCCCGTGCTTCACCTCTCCTCTATATCTGTTTCCTTTTCACTCCCGCTTCATTCTCTTTCTATTTGAGCCCAATTCATATCGTTTGTCCAATGCCCACACATGTTTTCTTCTCAACTTAATAATAATGATAACTCCAATTCAATTACACATTAATACCTATGCCCGCGATCAGTCACATCAATGTGCCTGGCAAGTTGGAGCGACCAATGCCACTGCTCGGTGCCTGGAGCCAGCGGCCATTTATGGTTCAATCCGTATTTTACAGGTCGATGTCTGAGAATCTTAGCTGCCCTGGACTTCTCTGGGCTAGTGTGACTCATTAACTGACCCAACGACAGACTCCCCGATCTGAATCACTCTATGCCCCTTATCTCGCCGTCTTCCTTCCACAATCATTCAATTCCTTTGCACAACACTAACTATTGATCCTCACAACTCCTTTTCACAAACTCAATCATTTCAACCCGCAAACCATATTCTTGAATCACTAAACGGACAGGTTTTCACACCATCCAATATTTCCCCGTGTGCAACTAAGTTCTCCAAACAATTAATTGTAGCAACTACTCTCGCATCTAAGCTCGACTTCACACTCTTGCTAACCTGCCCACCCTCTACAACTCTACATTCACAAATTCTTCTATTCAATCGTCCTGAACCGCTCTGAGCTCTCCTGGTTTCCCCCCAACCACTGTTCAGTCCTCTGCTTATAAACTAAAGATGGTGGTCAACAATGGACCTGCCGCCAGAAACATCGAGGAAGCGAGTGAAACCTCGATACTAGCACGATTCGTCGACGAAGTTCCATTCAATATTGGAGATTGCAATGATCCATGCAAAGACTGCCGCGCTCTCCACTGGAAGCTAGAACGACCAAAAGGAACGAAAAACGCGGATGTTGTTTCTTTCCCAACGTGTTGCCAACAAGGCGCGGTCAAACTTCCTAGCCACCGTGTGGAGAACCGCATGACACCTATATTTCTACAAAAGTTACTTTCAAAACAGGACAAAAGTAAGAGTTATCTCTCTCTAATAATGTAACAGAGTAGCTAAGAGCCACTTCTTAGTTTTGAAAGACTTCAGGAAGAATATCCAACGTTATAACAACGCTTTGTCGTTTGCTTCAACCGGAGCAAAACAAGACATGACCGTCACAGGCAAAGGAGGCTCCTGGACTTACAAGATCAGCGGACGGCTGACACATCGGATTGGCTCATTGTTTGCTTCACATGGCGTTAAGAAAAAATTTGCTCAAATGTTTATGTTTGGTGATGAAGGCGACAACAAGGGCTTGGCGAGAAGTGCATTCGTAGGTGGGAAACTTGACCTGTCACTCCTTAGGCAATTTCAGACTTTCATGTACGATCACAATCCGTTTGCTCGGATGTACAAATCAGCTCAACGATTGCTCAATGAAAATACTGTGAAAACTATCAAGATTAAATCCCTGCCTATCGCTGGGCGAGATAAGAACCAGTATAATTTTCCTACATGTGACGAGGTCTCCGCAGTCATTGACGGCGACGGAGTCGTTGGGTCTCTCGATCGTGACATTATACTGCAGCGTGTCAGTGGTAAACTCAGGAGGATTTCCAAATTAAATACCAATTACTTCTCTTTGAGATATCCCATCTTCTTTATGTTTGGCTCCCACGGCTGGGATGAACATTACCGCCACATGAATACCCGAAGTTTGTTACCATTCCTCTTCTGATTCTACCATTTCATGCTGAATACTGGATCCGCGCATTTGTAGGACCAAGTGGAAAAGTTTCAAACTTAGAATGGTTTGCCTACACTCTCTTCAGCCGCAAGCGTATATTTTCTCCGATCCTCAGAGGGGGCCGTCTTTTTCAAGAGTACTTAGTCGACATGTACGTTTGTGTTGAAAATGCAAGAATGAAGTTCTTCAAGTTGAATCAGAAGAAGATCCGCGCCGACCTGTACACGGGCGCCACTGACGCCTTGAACAACAACGATTTTACAATTGGCAAGAAAATAATTCTACCCTCAACGTTCATCGGAGGTCCTCGCGCGATGCAAGAGTTATTCCACGATGCTATGGCTCTGGTGCAGTGGTATGGGCCTCCCAGCTTTTTCATTACTATGACGGCCAATCCCCAATGGCCAGAAGTTCTCGCAGCCCTCTTACCGGGTCAAGTACCAGCTGATCGACCAGATCTCGTCGCCCACGTTTTTCACATAAAACTGGCCGAGATGCACAAAGACGTCTACAAGAGAGGCAGACTAGGAAGGAACTTATCCAACGTTGACACTATTGAATTTCAAAAGCGGGGTAATCCCCATGATCACGCGGTTTTAATCAATGATCGGAAAACTACGCCTCAAACCCCAGCCGAGATAGACATCGTCGTTTTCGCTACGCTCCCTGACCCAGACACTTCACCTGAGTTACATAGTTTAGTTACACAATTTATGCTACATGGCCCATGCCACGCTGGGAAGAGCTGTTGGAGTGGAACCAAATGCAAGTACGGCTACCCGCGTGAATTCACAGAAACAACAGTTGTCTCTGAAAACGCTTACCCTGCCTATCGCAGACCAGATGACGGCAAATTCTTCGTCAAGAATGGTTATCAATACACGAACCGCGACATAGTACCTTACAATCCTTTCCTCCTCCTGAAATTCCGTTGTCATATCAACTGCGAAGTCACTGTGGGAATGAAATCCGTCAAATACTTGTATAAGTATATCAGCCAGGGTCATGATCGTCGGGTCGTGAAACTAGAAGTTGAAAATGAACCTGACAACTTCATTGACGGCCGCGAGCTCGCCGCAGCAGAAGGTGAACTGATCCAAATCTTTGTCTTCTTGTTAGCCCACATACTGACCCATTGTCTGATTAGCTGTCTGGCGACTATACAAATTTGTTCTTTCAGGTAGATGGCCGTCAGTCACTCGCCTCGCGCTACATCTAGAAAATGCGCACACGGTCTATTTCAATAACACCGACAAACTGGTCAACGCCATCGACTCGGGCCGCGCATCGCGGACAACGCTTACTGAATTCTTCCACTTGTGCGCACTCAATGCCTTACTCCCGAAGTCGAAAGGCAATGTCAGATTGTTACTATACACTGAGATGACGGAGCACTATTGGTGGTCCAAAGAGGATAAACAGTGGATTCCCCGTGTGAACAAAACTGTGTCCATCAGTCGTCTACATTTCGCGGGACCAAGTCATGGCGAGAGGTATTACCTTTGATTACTACTCACTCATGTAAGGGGACCAACCTCATTTCGAGGTATTAGAACCATCAGCGGGCAAGTATACAACAGTTATCGCGCTGCTGCCGACGCAATGGGTCTCCTCATGTCAGATACCCATATCAAAGCATGTTTGACCGAGGCGGCACGTTTCAAGACGGGTAGACAATTACGCGAATTGTTCGGCCTGATACTGGTACATAGTCCACCTGCAAACCCTACAAAAGTCTGGTTCAACCACATCGACGATATGTCAGACGACTGCGAGTACCTCCTAGCGCTTCTCTCTCCAACTATCTGACCCACAACTGCTCAAATAGAAAACTACGCACTTTCTCTCATCGAAAACGTAGTCAGTCATATGGGGAAGAGTCTCTCCGACGTTGGATTAGATCCCGTCGACCAAATTCTATTATCCGCCATTGGGGGCCCAACGACTTACGACGACGAGCAAGGAACCACTAGACAGACCAGCAAAACTCATTTGGACTCGAAGTTGGCTTTATTAACAGACGAGCAACACAAGGTACTTGACTACGTGAAGCAAACAATTGAAGAGGCTGAAGGAGGACTATTATTTGTAGATGGCCCAGGAGGCTGCGGCAAGACCTTTCTCCTGAATCTGTGTCTACATTACTGTAATGCGAATGCTATACCATTCATCGCTGTCGCCTCCTCGGGCATTGCCTCTCTGCTGTTGCTCAACGGTGGTACGGCGCACTCAAAGCTTGGAATACCTCTCAAACCTAACGACACATCAACATGTAGCTTCACACGGATGGACAAAGTGGGTCTAACATTGTTACAAGCACGGTTCATGGTCTGGGACGAGATCTCAATGATGAACAAATCGGCCGTGGAATGCGTAGACCGGTCTCTACGAGACTTGCGATCATGTGATGAGCCTTTCGGCGGTATCGTCACTTTATTCTCAGGTGACTTTCGCCAAATACTGCCAGTAATAGTTCATGGGAGCTTGCTGGACGCAGTACGAGCATCAATCAAGCATAGCTACCTTTGGCGGTCTGTAGCACAATTTTGTTTAACTAAGAATCTACGGCTAAGAGACGTCGGAGAGGGGAATGGAATAGGCAGTGAAGACTTCGCTTCTTGGTTACTCAAATTGGGTTCAGGACATCTCCAACAAGATCCAGTTCAATTAGTCGAACTGGAACACATCAACGTCAAATATTACAAGCAAACGGCTCAATTCGACAAAACCCTTATGTCCAGGTTTTACTCACAATCCAACAAGTTGATCGACCGGAAGGACTGGCCACAGCTCGCGCACTACTATGCCAACCGCGCGATGATTACCCCTCTAAACCGAACTGTAGACCTTATGAACAGCTTCATGTTACATAGGATCAAAACGATGTTGAAGGCCTACAAGTCTGTGGACGAGATGGACTTGGACTGGAGCGAGCAAGTCAGCACGGAAGTGTTGAATTCATTCAATTTTTCAGGGTTTCCTTCCCATCGTCTCGAGCTGAAGGTGGGAGCAGTAGTTGTGGTGCTAAGAAACTTGTATCTACAGCAAGGCCTGAGTAACGGAACCCGCCTTCTGATTACAGAAACTTCGGAGAACGTTCTCCAATGCCAAATAATAACGGGGCCCCGGGCTGGAAACCTTTTGAGTCTTCCCCGAATGAGGCTCCATCATCCTGGAAGCGAGACAGTCCCAATATCCTTCTATCAATTACAATTCCCAGTCACCTTGGCTTTTGCAATGACAATCAATAAAGCGCAAGGACAAACTTTAGAAACGGTTTGCCTAACTCTGCCAACTCCGGTCTTTGCCCATGGACAACTTTATGTTGGTATGTCAAGGTGTACTTCAGCTATGAACACAACCGTCTCATTGCCTGGCCCGGTTGGAGGGAATGAAACAACTAGTGTTGTGAGCTATCAAGCCCTGAGGTAGGCCCGCTGAGTTGCCTTTTCCTCTTTGTGGTGTATCTGTTCGGGCCTGTTCTTGTGAAGTAAATTTTTGTATGTGTCCGTCTGTCTTAGCCGCGCTTTTTTTGTAATTGAATGGTCTACAAATTGTCTCCACCCCACGCCAACGAGTGCCTGGCATAGCCAAATACTTGCCCAGTTTAGATTGAAATTAGATAAGATGACGATTTCATTTCAATAGGGACAGGCTGGTTATGAAGCATAACTTATCTGCTAACACTGAGGCGTAGCGAACCGGTCTGGAACAAAAATGTTGTAGTACAACAGCAATTTGTCTACGAACAAACCAGATCAGCCAGACGATCAGCCTACCAAGCGTGCTTTCATGCCAATGGGATAGTGATATCATGCGGTAAAAGTTGTCAGATCATCTCTGTTATATAATGGACTCAAATAATCAATCCTATTTCCAATTAACAGCCTGTACTTCAACCCCCTAATACCACCCGATACACTCAAAATGGACGTTTTCAGATACCCACGTTTGCCCTTCACTTGGACCGGGACTTTTACTTTAGGGGAAAAGGTGTGCATAGCAGTCTACGATAATAAAAATGTGCTAACGGTTGTTTCCAGGTTTTCAACAGAGACACTGCCTATCGAAACAGATTAATGGTGACGATGACTCGACCCAACATGGATACATTGGTTGACCTGGTAGTCGTCAATGAAGACCCTTTCTCAACTTTGGAGGCTGCAGGGTCATACTGTTTTCGTGGTAGCGTAATTGTAAGAGGGTTGACAAATGCTACCGAGGTATGGCTGGTAGAACATCACAATGCGACATATGAAACCAAAAGTAGGAATATGGGAGGCAGAAATGAAATTCAAGTAGCAGGGGTTGGATTGATTGCCGAACATAGGGACGAAAAGGACAGCGGGGGTCTTGGATGGGACATTTTGAAAGTCAAACACAGAGAATGGGACAATGAAGTACGTAAGCATTTGATAGAAAGGCAAATTGGGCGACTGACACGTGCTTTCCCTATAGCTCCTAGGCCTTACAGAATTTCACGTCGAGTATTGGTACAAAAAGTCGGAGCTGTTAATGGTGTCACAGTTTGTTATAGGGGATAAGGTCACATTGCGTGGAAGTGTCTTTGGTGGTGGGTCAAAGGGAGTCCCTTGGCAAGTGAAAGTAAGTGGCTGATTATACCGACCGTGCTATCAGTATTATTACTAACCTTGTGCCAGTTGAGTGGAATCGTATTAGGATAGTCTGGTGATTGAATCATAATACCTCAACGCGCCAAGTAGTTTACCTGACGTTTTCAGAGGAGTCCACTGAGTGAGAGGCTGCGCGTGAGGAGTGTATTTAGGGGTTCCGGATTCTAGTTGTTTACACAATTCTTGCGCATTTGACCAACTTGTAATGAATTTGTAATACTGTACTCTACACGTATTGGTTCCTCATATACCTATGGGTGGCTGGCCACCCAATACCTCGTTATAACTAAATCTTGGCTTCCTGATGCATTACTGAAAAGTGAGTGACAAAAAAACATTAGAACATTGATAGAATCATGATGATGTTCCTGGGGAGACAGCTTAACTCAGTGCTTTCTTTAAATCCAAGAGTACCTCTTGGAATTGCCCTTGAAACTGTTCACATTTGGTCCATTCACTAGCTCTATGCTTTTCAATTTTGACAATAGCCATAGCAAGATTGGTGCAGAGGTCTTGAAGGCTGCAGTGTTTGCTTTTGAGTTCTGCCTTGATGCTAATCTGTTGATGCTGAATATCATCCAGACTTTCAAATAGGCTTTCCCAACTTTCTGCAATGTGAATAAAGTGAATTAGTGGTCTTGATACAACTACACTTTAATCTCATGCCACACATACCTTCATTATTCAGTGATCCATCCTGAATTTTTGAGCTGATGTGTGATGTTTCTGATTGATCAATGGGCCATCAAGAGTTGCCCGCAAATTCAAGATGGCATCCTCATGGGTGTCTCCTATGCAAGCAATGAAGTGATCACAAAATACAAGCAGAATGAGCATAAAGCAAAATTGATGTCAAAATGACAGCAAGTAAAATTGAACACCTTTGGCAATGTGCAATTCATGTGGGATATGAAATGCATTCTGTTGAATCTGATCCTTGAGTTCCTTGAAGTGCAAGTCTGCCAATGAAGCTGTGGTGCCATCCAGAACCGCTGAAAAACTATGGGACATTTTTATATATGAGTATTGGGGTGGACAACTATTGTTATCTGGAGCAATTGTCATGACTTATATAAGTGGTATGGAAGAATAAATAGTGACATAATGCTGTGGGTAAGAATGAGCACATCTTGACTTCAATATCTAACAGATTCCTCTCTCTCTTGGTTTTTGAAATCCCAGAGTATCTGCATGAATTGAAACCTTTGTACTTCAGTACTTTGTCTATCTGAAGGTTTATGTTGGGTAACCACCCCTCTGTACATCTTGATTAACCCAAGGGTAAAGTGAACAAACCACATTTCATCTGCACATCCCTTGGATTTTCTAAGGAGATGAACACAGCATAAAGTAGCTGAATCTCTCATATCTCTGTATAATGCTGTCCCACAAGATCATCATTTTAGGGATCAGGCAAAATGATATTCAAGTTGTGTTATAGGGTACTTTAAATTTAAAAAAACTGGCTATCTCGTACCTACCAATAGAGAAAGAATATTTTAAATTGTATCAGAGCAGATCATGTTCTAAAATATGTTCAATATCACACAATTTTCAAGTTTTTTTTGCTTTTCATTTGATCCAAAATGTTACGATGTGTGGATATGCAAGGATGGGCACCACTGAGTCATACTAAAAACATGTGATCTACTGCAATCAGATTTATTTACAGGTTGAGTCCATCCAAAATCCTCACATGTTACTACAAAGCCTTGATTTGCGGTGGATCTGCCAGGCCTTTTGGTCAAGTTGCTGCTAAAAAGGGATAAAAGATATCTCACAAAATTTTGCTTTGCCCAAACACTCTCAACCAATGAAATTATCAAGCATCACTCTTCTGACACATAGACTCTATTTGAACAAAGATGTGTGGGAACCAAATTGGAACAACATTGACAAAAAAACCCTTAATTGACAATAACAACAAATTCTGGGGCAGCCAGACAAAAAAAAGACTTACCTGTGCATAGTGTAAACAAAAACGGGTAAAGTTCTACTTGAGATGTTGGAAAGCTACAGTCTGCAAAAAAGGGAAATTGTGTTTTTTAGGTCAGGATGTATACATAATTAGAATAGCAACTGTAATTCTAGAAATTTTGCAGATCAGGTAAAATGTTTTCTATCAAACTATTATCACAGTATGGGATGCACTCAAGTGGAAAATCCCACAGACACCTTGAGCCCAACTTATAAGCCCCTCTTTTGATAGATTTTGATTCAGACATGGCCACGTCAAAAGAGGGACTTAGTTCAGCTTACATTCCAGTACTCCAGTAGTGCCTAACTATTGTAGATATATAGGCCAGCATAAGAAGTATACAGCCTAAAATAAAGCCTCCCCAAGGGCTGTTATTCAAAGAATCCTTGTCATCTCGTGGATTTTTTTATGGACTTTCCAGTATTTCTGGCTAATTGGGATTGGGCGAAGTGCAGTCCCAAAAAGTGACAGTTGCAATTCAGTTGATTTGGACACCTATTGAGTCCCATGGATCCCTTGTCCAAAAGACTTAAAAACCCACACATTTATTATTATTTTGAAAACAAGCTAAAGTCTGGTGGGTGGTGTATTGAAAAAGTTGTACAAAAAACCTGTGATCTGACAGGACCGGATGTTCTTTATTGTCATTTCCCCTGTAAATCCCCAAGGTGTCCAAAATGGAAGCCTTCAAAAAAACTTGCCGATTGCACTGGCCTACCTTTCACAGGCTCTGCCTTGGCCCGGTCCCCAACCGTAGGATCTATTATTTGGCTCTCACCGTGGCCCCGGAAGTTGAACCCATCTTGGGCTGTGGTTTTCCTGAGATCAGCTCAGCATACCAACTGTGAAGGTGTGTGTTTGATTTTGGAGGTGGAAAGCAATTTGAATCAATTGAGCTCAAGGATACTTGAGTACATGACTCAAACCTGATTGAGCAGAAGGCCTTGGGTAAGCTGATGAAAGGACAGGTTTGTGAAACCTATCCTTGCATTTTTGTGGCTGTGACAGCCTTCTGTGGTATTTGAAACTGCAGCAAGACCGGTTGAGCAAGATTTTGCCCAAGAGTATGAATGCTTTTTGTGTAGATCTTCCTGAGTCATCTCATTGGGCCAATCATGTGATCTATGTAGCTAAATACCTAGTCCTTGAATAGCTGTACTTTCTTATGTCCTTTCTTCTCCGGACCCAATCAATTGAACCTTGGTCCACCAAAGGTTTTTTTTTTCAGAGAGATTCAATTGATAATTGGGTTGACAGTAGGTCTTGAGTTGAGATTTGTTTCATCTCTCTTTTTTATTGATCTACCTCAAGTTATGAGACAAGTGACACACAATTGTACCTACATTCAACAAGAAAATTGTGCTCAATCTCATTTTGACAAGAATCTTGCATCAAATTACCGGAATTTTACCAGCAAACCTTGGTCAAGCTTTCTGGAATTGACCTTATCAAGGGTAGGTCAAAATACATGTAATTCAAACGATTCAAACAGACTGAATTGATAAATTGTGATCATTATATGTCCATTCACAACGAGTCAGCTTATCTTAGTTGCCTGTTCTCGTATTTTGACACGTTCAAGGTGTGACAGATGGACGGGACGGTGGATAGCTGTAAGGTCAGCTCCAACCTGTAATATTGCAAACTGTATGTTAGTTGCAAAGTATGTACGCCATACATGAGATATGGTGTTTGGGGGTAGGTGGTTATCCGCCTTCTCTTCATCCGACCTCCGGCGCTGTAGGGTACAGGAATCTTGTCTGAGAGCCTGAGAGCGCCAGGAGAAGATGGTGAAGATGGAAGGAAGATAAACTCCGGCACGCAAAACAACAAACCAAAGACTAGGAGAGAAAACAAGGGGGGGTTAGCGATACACCCCGTGTGTTCCATCCACTAGTCTCTGGAACATACAGAAACAAAAGTGGGGAGGGTGGGAGGACAGGAAAAATACGAGACCCGCAAGCTAGAGAAAGGGTGAGGATCAGTCGTGGAGGATTCTACCAGAATCTGGCTGACAATAAGATTGTCGAGTGGGTGAGAGAGATTGTGAGTAGAGACCACGTCAATATATTGTCAGGCATCCAGGCATCAGCTAAGACTTGTGTACGTCACAAGTCTTCTATCCAGGCACCAGTGATGGTTATTAGGTAACCATCCGGTTACTAATCATCCGGGACTCCCGTGCTAAGCTAAGCAGAGGCCTTACACATCGAGGGCCAGCTGCCCAAGTGCGGGCATGGACTGGAGTGACCTCCCTCGTGCCTTGTACGGGTACTAGATATTTTTTGACACAGATGAATCAATGGAAAACAAGTCAAAATATAATCTAACCCAGAAGAAAAAGATTGACAACTTGGATTGGTATTGCAAAGCTATCTTGAAGACCCTATCTAGGGTGAATCCCGCTGCAATAGATATTGAAGCTGAGAAGAAGAACCTTGTAGAGAAATATCAAGTGTGGAAACAGAATCTCCTGGAAAAATATGCAGATGAGCGTCAATCATTGGAATATGGTGGTTATGGTCTAAGGCCAAGAGCTGGGGACCATGGTTGTATTAACTGAACCTCATTTCATTTTTTTGATTATAACATCCAGAAAGCATTCTGCTGCGGAATTTTGACTGATTTTTGACTGTATACCAGAAATTGGCATAATGTTAATGCCATCTATTGCACTACAAATTTTCAATTGTCTCCCAGAAAAATAATTGTACTTGGATGAATTTCTGTACCTAAACCTTGCTTGTTGCAGTTATCTCTTTCCCTAGTGCTATGTAGAAGTCAAGTCAGTGATCTTTGGTAGATTGAGGGAACAAGGGTAACCAAACTTAGCACAATTGAGGTGATCCAAACTGGCTTCAGCTTCTCAACATGTGGATGGCAACTTGTAGAATAATAGAGAAGTTTGGTAGGCCTGACTGTATACAGCTTTTACTGACATCTGCCCACACTCAGAATGGTAGTTCAACTTCATTCCTTTTCTACTGAAGTCCCCAAACTTGCTCAAGTGTTATGTGCATCTCTTACACTAGCTCTTCCACAGTTTAAATTGTACCTGTTATCATGAGGTAGGTTTCAATGGTATACTTGATTGACAAATCAAATTAGATGGTTCAGAGGGTGTTGGGAAAGTGAGTCTTGTAGCGTTTCATATTGAGGAATTGCTGATTTATAATCTTGGAAGTTTTGAAATAGTGGCAGGATATGACTAGAAGACTCAACTCAACACTAGGTGCAACATTTTGGTGATCAATTTAAGGAATCAAGCAAAAAATTCATTACTAGTAGTTTACCAGTTTACCAGAAAAGTTTAGCAGGGGAGAAAATTCGAAATGGAGGTTTTTGGATCAATTGAAGCTCTTATGGGCTTATGTATTGGTCATTGGGTTAAAATTACATCATTTTATTTCACATTACTTATTAAGATCATTAGAGTTCATTCACAAATTTATTACAAAAAGAAAGAAAGAAAAACATAAGAAAAATTCAAAAATATAGGTATACAAGTTGGAAAATGGCTTTTAGGGTATTAATAATAAAGTTATGGGTTTTATGAGGTTAGAATATGAAAGAACAACATTGTATTATACTGTAACAATTTTAATCTTGAAGGTTGATAAGAAGAAACAGAATTTATTAGGGAAAAGGTACTTTTTTGGAGCTGGTAAACAAGGGGTATACATGTAGTTTGCATATGTAATGGTGGTAATAGTGGAATTTAAGGTTGCCAAGAGGATTTTCCGGGATTTTTAAGGTTATAGAGGATGATGTCATATTACATGAGAAAGAAAAGGAGAGTAGCAGCTGTGAAAAGTGAAGAAAATGGGCAAGTTTTGTCAAAAATGAGGGTTTTCAGCTAATTACATATGTCAAATGACGTCAGATTAAGTTGGTAGATAGCTCATTCAACACGGAAGAGTGGATTACATAATTTACAGAATTTAAATCAATAGTAGCAGAGGTGTATGTAAAAAGTTATAAGGCAAATAAGACAATGTTGTGAATCTCGAATTTACAGTCACAAGTCCACATGTAACACTAAAAACCTTAACTTCACAACTCAATATATTACTCATCACTCATCAGAAAGAGGTCATATGGGTGTGATAAATGATCAGTAACACAAGGGCCACAAGATGCACTTTAGTAATCACAAATTGGACCTCATCTGAAAAAATTTGTAATCTCAAAATTTGGTTTTCAGCTAGTTTACAAGGAAAAAATCACCAGTATTCATGATAAGAAGTGCTGTACATCATATTATTGTGTAATTGATCACTTTTAGCTGTGAAAATTACATCATTTATTAGTAACAAGATCATTACATTGCATCATCATAGGGTTTTTAGGGATTTCTGGGCGGATTTGATTGGTTTTGAGGCTGTTGACCATTATAAAAGTTGGAGTACATTGTTATATATACTTGGAGATGATTCTGGGACTGTTTTTCCCCTTTTTTCTTGATCATTTACGCGGTTATTATTTTGTTTATCATCATAAACTTATTTTAATAGTATCTGGTCCCTTAAATACGCCCTTTATTATAGCTATAAAGAGAAATTTACTTTAGTGTTGCAGTCAAAAAGAATTATTGGTAATAATATCATCAAGATATTGCTTATTTTCTTTAGTTATCATTTGGGAATAACAATATAGCAGTGTTGATAGTAATTAAAAATTGTGCTTTTGAAGTTAAAATACGTGTGAAAGTTATATTCCTTTGGTGCCTTAACGTTCTACAACGTTTGAACTTGAAATGTCTCCTGGTCTCACTTCTGCTTCAAGAATTACAGCCATTGTCTACAAAGATCCAAAACAGGATACAAAGGTCAAATCGTTATAGTCCACCAGGTGGATCAATTGATGCAGTGTGCTATTTAGCAACTCAATTCATTAAGATCATCTCAGCTCCTCTGGTCCAAATAAAAATGATGACACAAAGGCTCCATTGGTTGTATTGAACTTCTGTGCAATTTTCAACACAACTAATTAGCCGCAGTCAAGCATACATTCCTCATAGTTCACCCCAGTTTGATGTCCCATCACTTCACCTTGCTATTCAACCTATTTGACAATTCCACATTCCACATTTCTGAATCCTGAAATTTCCCTACAATCTATTATATGCCTCAGCCTACAAAATTATGGCTTGCCCATTCCAAGCATTCAGTTAAAATAGTATATAGTCCTTTGAATTCAGTTATTGCCCAACGTGATGTCAGGAGCCCCACTAGAAAGATCCACCAGTAAAGCTTGGCTTGCTCATACCTAGCTGTCAAGTCAGTCAACTTGGTGCGTTCACTAGCTTGGTTCTTTAGGATTTCAATCATAGCTGTGCAAACCACTTGGAGGTTGCGGTGATTCCTTATGAACTTGGCGTTGAGGTTGACCTGTTCAGTCTGAATATCATCCAAATGTTGGAAAAGGTCCTCCCAATTTTCTGACACACATTCAAGATAAAATCAGTCATCCACCTGTGTAAGAACTTTAATAGACTTCTATGGATACTCTACCAACCTTCATTATTCTGGGATTCATCTTGAATTTTTGAGCTGAGTGACCTCAATGGTCCATCACACATCTCCTTGAATTCCTTAACAGTTTCCTTGGTGACTACTATGAAACCAAACAAGTGTTGACCAAATGAAAACATGATGAGCAGAAAGCAAGATAAGTTTCAGGATGACAGAAAGTGATATTTGATACCTGTGATATCGTGCAACTCTTTTGCAATGTGAATAGCAACATCTTCAATCTGGTCCTTGAGCTCTTTGAAGGCTATAGTGCCATCCCAAACTTCTGGATAATTTTGAGGCATCTTGATATCATAATATTTGTGTGTAGATGAATATTGTGGTCTTGATAAACTGGAATGGATTATAACTGTTATAAACCAAAAAGTTTCAGGAGGCCCACACCTTGGGTAACACTGGGATCTTTTTGACTTCAAAATCTGAGAAATTCCCACCCTTACGTAGTTATTGAAATCTTGGGGATTCTGAATAGATGCACAAGCTTTTCACCAGGTCTGCAGACTGATGATCTCTCCTGAAAAACCAAAGAAGTGGGACCAGTTGTCAAGTGGAATCTCACATAATCATGAGCCAAATCTCCAAATCAAACCAGTCTAGTCAATCTGAAAATACCTCAGCTCTTAGCAGCTCATGTACCAACATGTTGAGAGCAGACTAAAGGGAACAAAGAAGGGTTGTGTTGGAAGGGTTTCAAGGTTGTACAGGACCACTGCATAGTTCTCTTTGATTCAATTGAAGATACTCCCTGGTTCTGTTTTGTTAATGTTCTGGACAGCTATTCAGCTGTATTGAATGCCACAAGGGCCAGTGTGGCTTTGCCTAGATCACACATAACCAAAGCTCTCAAAATGTTGACTCAGTAATGAGTAGATTCCATAATAAAATCACACATTCTGACCTTCATAGTGTCGTTTACTCAAGACTTTATTGAATCCAACAGGTGGACCAACATGACCAAAGCATCTTACTCTCAATAATCAAGTCAATTTGCTTAATAAAAGTGACAAGTTGATATCAAAAATGTAAAAAACCTATTCTTTCACCTAAGTAATCACAATGGAACTTATATTTTCTGACAACAGCAGAAGGTGACTCCTCCAGTGTGAAAATTCCACTTCAGACAAAATAGATATATTAAACAATGTTCCCTAATCAAAGGATTATTCAGTATAAGAAGATCATATGGTACATATAGGTACAAATTATATAATAGTACAATGTAAGGTTTCAACATGATTTCAAGAATGACAAAAACCTCTTTGGTCCCTACACCCAAGCATAATCATTCTAATGATGTTTTCCTCCATGATCAAGAAAACAAAGGAAGCCTTTGGATGATAACAAGTGTATCATTCTACAGCTTCCAATACTTTTAATATCTCTTCACAAGCTTTCTTTAATGAACCTCTTTCAGTAGACTGATCAAGCGCTTCATGTGCCACATACGTTAAAGCTTTGGTACTGATGGTGTCAAAAAGGTAATCATCAGTCATATTATCCCGTCAAATTCCTGAAGCAGGCCAAAAGAAAGAAAAGAAAGATACCATATCTATCCAAAAAGGACTTACTTGATCATTCCATCTAATCCATTGACTTGACACCCAATACCTGATATGACACTACCTATTGAGATTGTACAATTCAAAATCTCTTCACCACTAAGTTCAAAAGCAACTTGAACTCCCACTCATTCATCTTCTCTTTGTCCATTTATTTTCACCATTGCATTCACACTACAAGAAAGATAATATTTTCTGGGCAGAAAATTAAATTATTGATACACAAAAATATTGAGAGGCCAGGAGGAGAGCAAAAAATGAATAAAAATATGCATCTTGTTCCCTGCGTTGAGAAATTCACTCTGCATATTTTTCCATATTTTTACAGTCCATATTGATAAGTGTACTAACAATAAACCTTCACATTCATCCAAGTACAACCTGTAACAAGCACTGAAATTTGGCTCATTAGTGTTTAGAGAGACTTTTGATTTCTGAAAATACTCATAACTTATTCAATTCCGGTCCAAAACGCTCGATTTTGGGTGCATTGGTAAGCTGGAATTGTCCTCCAAATAGTTCATAATAGGAGCACACAGCATGCTGGTCTGCTAAAAAAGATATCATCTTTTTTATACATTTGTACATACAGATCCATAGAATGATTGTCATACTAGCTACATAGTCCTTGATCTTATGAAAGTTCAAGAGGAAGAGTTCAGCTTTCTAATGCACTTAAAATTGAGTGTTTTGAGGCAGATTTGACAAAGTTATAGGTGTTTTCAGAAATCAAAAGTTTCTCTAAACACTAATGAGCCAAATTTCAGTGCTTGTTACAGGTTGTAATTGGATGATTATGAAGGTTTATTGTTAGTACACTTATCAATACGGACTGTAAAAATATGGAAAAATATGGAGAGTGAAGCTCTCACCGCAGGCAACAAGATGCATATTTTTATTTATTTTTTGCCCTTCTCCTGGCCTCTCAATATTTTTGTGTATCAATAATTTAATTTTCTGCCCAGAAAATATTATATTTCATGTAGTGTCATCATCTTTTCTTTTCCTACTTCTACTGATACCCTAAACCTTTGTCTAATATTCAAGAACTCATATCTTGATTCTAAAGCTAAAGAACACGTTGAACTGACTTGGTACACATAATCCTTTTCCAGGGCAAGAATCAAATGTCAACATTCATCTTTTCATATCTTAAACTCAATCACCAAATCAAAATATCCTTATGAAGATTTCACGTACCTTCACCCTTTCATTGTACTGAAAATTTTGATCACAAAGTTCCTCATCAATTTAATTAAAGAAAAATTCATCAATCCTTTGCCTAACAAAGTCATGATCAGATAATAACGATTGATTCTCAGGTTTTTTTTCCATTTTAATTTAATCTGTCTCACTTTTGTAGATTCATTGCTTTTATGTCAATCAATTGATTCAAGGAAGAAGACAATTCCAATGTGTGACCCAAGCAGAAACTCTAATTGATTGTTATCAAATCTGACCATTTCCCATGCCATCATATCTTGTGAAACCAAAACCTCCTCTGCAAAGTAAACAACATTGGATCAATTGTGAAGCTTACAAGACCTTAAAAGAAAGACACAGATGACATCAACTCACTCTTTAGTGTAACTAATTCTTGTGTTTTGCATTCCAATCCTTCACAATCACCTTTCTTTTTCCATTGTCCAATCTGTGCCAAGCATTCTTTCTTCTCACTGTCCGTACCTTTGACTTGCTTTTTCCACAGTCTTTTCAGCTTCTGATTTGGCTAACATACCTCGCATGACCTCCACCACCATCCTAACAAAACACAAATATTGAAGCTCAGTTAGAGGTCAGGTGTGGCAATTACCAAGAGAGAATTCAGGAAAAAACCAATAGCTAACCATGAATCCTTGGTTTCCTCCTTCAAAATTTTTTTCACCGGCTGCAGGATTAGGACAAGGAAGTAGATACAATATTATTTATGGGCCAGAATTGAGAAACGAACCACATATGAAGACATGTTTTGAAATTCTTGAAAAGAACATGAAAACAGACAATTTTTTCAATGCATTCTGCTTCACAAAGCTGCAGCTGAAAGATTAATCTAAAAATTGACTTCAAAAGTCAAATGGTAAAAATATAAAAAACCATATAGACATGAAAGTAGTGAATCAGGTTATTCAGCCTCTGAAAAAACAGAACAAATGCAGGATCCACGTACAAGGAGGGTTTTTGTTGGTGCTAGGAAAGGACAATGTGTTGATAGGTTTTTTGATTTGGAGATTTGATTGGGAAGAAAAAATGTATGGTGAAGATGTCAAGGTAGCATATGGGTCAGTGAGAATCTTGCAAATCTGATCATTATCTATGATCTATTGTGATTATCTAGAATACTCACCTGTCATTCAAATCTAGCTATGAGCTTTGGTTTAGGAAAGATGTATGTAGGAATGGCTTAGGACAAGCACTTATGAACCTGTTGGAAGAGATTGGCAAAATTTGGAAGATGAAGAAGGTCATGCTCAGAGTTCACAAGGGTGTATCTTATAACCATCTCAATCTTGATTTGAGTGCATATATGAATTACAAAATACTGATCAGCAACATTCCATCAATAGCAAATCCAAGAGCTTCAAGCTTCTTAGAACTCTGCCTTGAGGCTTACTGAATCTTTACTGAATAGCCAAAGTCTGATAACACCTTGCCTTCCCAAGTTGAGGGTACAGATCCTACTGATTACAAAATCATGTGAAAACAACTTACCATCTGATCTCACAGAATGAGTGATTTTATGCATTCAACATGCAGTCGATTCTCTTGCAGTCCAACTTGTGTACAACAAATCATTCTCGAAATCATTCAAGTTTTTTCACTTTCCATTTGAGCTCATGGTATTCAATGAGCCTCAGTTATACAACAGGTCATCCTGGGAGCTCAAATTGACCATTTCTTAGCTTGCCTCCTAGTAAATCCATGTATTGTTTATCCAAAAGCTCATGAGCTTGTATACATCACACAGGCACTTTGTCAGAATACAACTAATTGTCACACAAAACACCTTCTGAATTCCTCTCATTAGAACCTCTGATACAGGTGGTAGCTGCAAATTAGATTTGCAAGTGTGGGGATAGCGTGACTTGAAGGGTTAGTTTGAGCTGGATCCCTTGAATCAGATTGATTATCTAGGATCAGTAGGGTGACTACTGGTTGTCTAGTAGGAAGAGTTGAAGCTCAAGCTTGAGAAGTATGAGTATGATCCATTGTTGTTGTATCATTGTTAGTTTGTGAGACCAAAGTTAATGAGATTGGATCAAACTTGATTGATGAATCAGATGGGATTGGACAATGAAAGTCAGTACAACCACCTTCCATGTGTGCAACAATTCACAAATACTCTACTTACGGCTCAGTGATGGCTGCCATGTTCTCCCCAATGGTCAGAGGTTTAACCCCCTCAAAAGATTTGAAGATTTCATATTCTTGAATTACATTCAATCCTTGATATAGTGCAGCAGTAATACCACAACTGAGGAAAGTCTCTTTCAGTTCAATTGCAAGTTGGCTATAAGGCTGAGGGAATATCTAGTTAATAACTAGTGAGATAGAAAGATCTCAATGACCAATAAATAGCAAAATGCAAACCTGAGGGAATATATAGTTAGTAACTAGTGAGATAGAAAGATCTCAATGACCGATAAAGAGCAGAAGGCAAACCTTCTCAAAGTGAGTAGAGAAATTGGTGAAGAAGAGAGATACAAAGTAGGCCAAAGACTACAACTATTTATACCAATCAACTACTCTAAGAGATGGTCACGAGGTCTTACATCATAACACAGCACACAGCATATGATGTCATAAAGAAGAATATGATGTAATGAGTATGAGACGAGAAACAAATAAGAAAGGATTAAATATGAGATTAGATAACCCAAACATAAGTATAAGAATTATACTTCAATTAGTTCTTCACTCAGTATCAGGTGTGATGGGCTGGGTGGATTTGACTGTTTGAAGTACCACAATCTTCCTGATTGTCTGGACTCAGTCAAATACGCAGGTTCTTAGCTTGCAAATCATCAAAATTCAAAGTGCTAGTGAATTCTTACCTGATCCATGGGATCTGACCGTCAATGGACCTGAAGCCGCGTTGTGGTGTGATACATGGCCAGGTACATTTAGATTTGGATGGAATGTGATCATATATAAAACGGATCTGAACTCAACCACTGGATACGTTTCAATTGTTGTTTGCCATCCATGCAGACCCATCTTATTTTTGTTTTAAAATCATGTGACAGGCTTGCCCCCTGGGAATTTGACGGATTCACAGGCCCCACAATTCTTCTTTCACTGAAAAGCAAGATTGGCACCCATTTGCTAATTAACAAATACAAAGTAAGGTCAATGTAACAATCACAATAATGGTAAACAGAAGGAGCAGTGGGTTTTACTTTTGAAGAATTGTGTTTATCAGAGACAATTGCACGCTATTGTGAAGTCAAATGGCATAAGTCACAGTCTGTGAAAAATATTTTAAGTTAAGCCATACTCTCTGACCCAGACCACATCCTGTTGATTGGGCCGCTCTACATCTATCAGACCTCTGCAAGAGCAATCACAATGTTGATCAAAAATGAGACAAAGTTGTGCATGACTGAGACAAGTAAGGAAGAGACCACACACCTTGACATTTTCCTGTAGAGTTCCTGGTAGAATTTGAACAGTAGTTGAGACACACCTCATCATTGGCAAGCTCAGATGATGGAAAAATTTGACACACCCCTGTAGACAAAACTTTGCCGTTTGCAGCTTGGATCTCTCCGCGGATTTTGTAATCTTCCATTTCTTCAATAAAATTTGGAGATGCATCATTAGCTTCAAATTCCAAAGTATCTTCTTTTGGAAGCTTACACTGTGGTGGCATGGTGTTGGTATATGACTGGTATAAGATAGAAGGGAGAGTCATAAGCTACAAGGTCAACCAAATTGCCTTTTGAAACCATTTTAGGGCCTTGGAATTCTCTTATAACTTACCTGATCAACAAGTGGGTCTAATTGCCATGACCCACCTGTACATCTGGAGATCAACTTTATCTTCATTCAAGCCACTTGTGAGGTCCAGACTGTTCCCAATCGCGTGCTCAGTCTTCTTTTTTGGGTAAATTCTAGAATATGTCAAGGTTTACAAAAAGTAAACTTGGGCTTGACTTCTGGCCAATCAATCAAATTAAAAATGAGAGATTGAACTGGGAGATAGCTCCACTTTAAACCTCGCATCATGCATATCACATAAAGAAAAATCTTTGAAATCCGTGTTAAGCCCAACTTCAGTCATTTGTCCTCATTTATGGGATACAAAGTTGAATCCGGGAACGGTCCCGGATTTTTTCCCAAATTTCCAAATTTCCTTAATTTGATTGATTGGCCAGAAGTCAAGCGCAAGTTGACTTATTCGGATTCAACTTTGTATCCCATAATTATAGAACTTAACACTGTCCCACAAATCATCAGTCAGAGCATAGTTTGTGAAAATTGTGTGGTGTTGTTCAATTATGAATACTTGGGCAAAGTGAAGTTTTTTAAAACCATATTTTAGATTATTTTCACGTATCTTCAATTGAATAAAACTGGACAGGTATTGCCAAATTAATCATAAGAGAGGATTTTCAATACCATCAAAGTGGACAACCATCCACAAGTTGTGAAACTCCATCATTCTTTTTTGCTTTTTATTTGATCTAAAAATTGTTGGTGTGTGTTCCACTAACTCGTCCTAAAGACATGATTTTCTGTGATCTGTGATATCTTCAGGTTGACTCCATTTGAAGACCTTATCTGTTTATACATATGCAGATATAAGTAGTCTGTATATGTGGTGGATCTGCCAGGCCCTTTGTTGAATTTGCAGCTAAACTCAGTTTTACAAAATTTCAATTCACCCAATCCCAGATGTTCAATTTTATTCAATTGAGGAAAATACATTAAAACTCAACTTTACAAAATTTTGGACTTCCCATACACAGAGAAAGTTTGGTGGAAGTGGAATTTTGTAAGAATTATTTCAGCTGCAACTCCAACAAAGTGACTGGCAGCATTCAAGCCACAAGTTCGAACTTGGGCTCAGATTCATACAAAGGTTGGACCAGGATTTCCAGATTGGATGCACCTATCAAGCCAGCAATAACCAAGATCTGATGACACAGCCCATATTGGTAGAGTCAACAAACAGGATAGGACATCCTTCAGGTAAACTTGATCAGCTGTTTGTGCACTTTTCTTTTCCTCAAAACTGGAATGTCACAGGATTTCTTCTTCTATTTGATAGATTAATTGCAAATCTCAAAAGTTGAACTTGGCTGGGAAATGACAAGGGCCTATGTAGTGTCATCAGTAGGGATTGAGTGGAGTGGATCTTTGTAAGATAACTTTGAGAGTACATATCTTCAATTAAACAACAATGGACAGCTACGCCCAAATTAATCACGGGAGAGTAAACAGAATTAAAGCGGACAACCCAAAGACATGTGATTTTCTGTGATCTGACATATTGTCAGGTCCACTCCATTTGAAAACCTTGTAGGTTTATACACATGCAGATATGAGTAGTCTGAATTTGTGGTGTATCTATCAGGCCCTTTGTTTGAGTCACAAGGATTAACACTTGATAATCGTAAATAAGCAGGAAAGAAACTATGTCAAACCTTCTGAAAAAGTCTCACCTAGTCCATCAGATACTGAGCCGTATGGGTGGGTCTGCAGATGTAAGAAGAGTCAAGAAGCCCCTTTTTGGGGTATCTCTCAATATCATTATATCATTGAGTCTCTATCTTCCATCCTTGATGTAACAATCATAAGTCTACATCAAAATGCCCATCAAAATTTCTGACCTTCTTGATGGAAAACCAATGCCTGGGATGGACCAACATTTCAAGAACCCAGGGGAGATAATCAAGTGTCAGATTTCTTGTTGTGTTGAGCATGGGTTACATCGTGTCAAAGGTCCGTTGATACTTTGAATTTGATCTCAGTCTTATTAGATCTCAGTTTTATTATTGGCTCATTTGGTTACATGCTGTGGTCATGTTTTGGTTTTTGTAGGTAATTTGTGGAAAGCAGTTAGGGACAATCAAGGGATCTTTGAAAGCTCTTTGGCAAAGATACACTTGGAGACATCTGATATCAGCTCAAAGATTTTGGCTGAATCACAAGCCATTGAAGGTTAGTTGAGCTAATTCACATCTGTTTCAGCTCATCACAGATTTAGTATTACCCACTAAGCAATGAGATTTGGAAATTTCAAGCGAACTGGAAAGCACTTGCAAAAAAATTGAAGGGGATGCAGACTGAACAAGCAAGTCTGAAGAAGGATATTGAAGAACTGAAAGAAAAATACCAGTCTGCTCTACATGAATATCATAAAGAGCAAAAGAAGAAATGTTTGGACTTTCAAGAGCTTTGTACTGATGTTGCCAATATCAAGAGAAACTTTGAAGACTATCAAAATAAGGAATCCTTCAAGTTTGAAGCCATGCAAGAGCAGTGTAAGGATTGGCAGTCAAAGGTGGAAGAAAGACTCAGTGAGATTCCCTTATTTGAAAGTTTTCTTCAATTTTTCAAGTCAATTGATCCTTGCTGTGGACTGCTTTGTAGAGAACTACTGTGGCCAACACAAGCTATACTGCTCAATACTATCAATCTTCATTGTTTTATCTGTAGCATTGGCTGCTCATGTAGTTCTAAAACACAGAGGCTAGCTGGGCTTATAGAATAATGGCAAGGTTTTGAAGTTTTAAATTTTGTTACCAGTACCATTGAAGCATATTTTATATCACCAACACATGGTGCTTTGGTCATATTCACACACCTCAAAATAGACAACACCAAGGTTTCAAATTGGACAAGGCAAATGCGCGTACTTCCAACACCGCGGCAATGAGGCACTTAAACCTCATCCGCTAATTGTCGTGTGAAATCTGTGCCATGGATTTGACACTCAATTATTAGTGCACAAACCCATAATTGCAATACGCAAACATTGCACATAAACACTACCAATAGAAGGTGAGCACAAGTAAAAACACAAATGAAAGAAAAGCTCTGGAGCCAACACCTGAGGTGTCCCGCTTTGATCTGCTTCTTGGCGGGTTTTTTTGTAGAGGGGAGGTATACCGCTACAGACAATCATTGCTCTCGATCCGCTTTTGGAAAACACCCGCTACATGCTTGATGAAGCGCGGCGCACATTGGAGGCGCTCTCGCTCTGCTTCATCATTTTTCTGGGCAAGGGGGCGGCACGAGGCAAGGCTTTATTCACATTTTTTTTTCAAATATTAACACCACAAGAAAAGTCTATGTACAATATCATAGAACAAAAACAGATCAAGTATCATATGTAAATTAGATATAGAAGAGTGACGAGAAATATAAATAAACAAAAAAAGTCAGATTAGGAAATCAAAGAGTGACGAGATAAAATAGTAGAAAAGACAAAGTAAGCAGACCAACAAACAGCAAAAGAAAAGAAAAAAAGAAAGATAAGGTACTAAGATAAAGTATTAAAGAGTGACTGGATAAAGTAAAAGACAAGTAGAATAGAATGATAAAAAAAGATAAAATGGGAATACAATGATCAGATTATTCAATGACAATTGGAGATTTTTTTGTTTGTGCGTGTTTTTCGAATGACTCCAGATAAGCAAGACAGTCTGAGAACTTGTCATTGGTCGTGATTCCTGATCTCAACTATTCCCTACATCCAACAGCCTTCGAGATGGTCTTTGGCTTTAACAAGCCACATCCAGGAACGGCAATGTCGGCCGCCGAAGAGAAGGTGCGTTCCTGTGCGCAGGTAGTACCAGAAATGGAGAGGTAGTCGCGGGCAAGTGAAGCAAGTACCTCGAAGTTAGACGCATTTTCCTGTCCCAAACAAAGAAAAATGAATGAGTTCATGTTTCAAATCAAGATGATTGGAAATGAGAGAGACATACCTTCCACCAAAGTAATTCTGGTTGTCCAGGGACAATCAGATTATTACCCTGAAGATAGAATTCAAGTTCGCTTGACCGGACGGATTCTGAAGTTTGCAATGTGGCAGATGAGGTGAACATGTTGAAGTGATTGATGAGGACATTTGAACTGGAAGAGGGCATTGGAGGTGGGGTAGAGGCTGGGGTGACTGGCCAACTCTCCAAAGTTGATTCAAAAGTTTTTTCAATAAGGCACTTGGCATGTCCAGCATAGTCGGCGTAGTTCATCTTGAAGAATTTAAGGTGGTATTTGGGGTTGAGAACGGTAGCCACGATTATCAGGTCTGAAGACAAAGCTTCATCCTGGTAGACTGTGAGCTGACTTAACATGACTTGGATCATGCGGACAAGACTAGGGAAGGAAGTTGTGGTGGATGTGTTGTTCATGGATTGATGACTGGGAGGTACTCGGCTAGCATCATTGAACCTGCGATAGTGTTACCTTCCATTCGTTTGGTTGAAATACAAAAAACCTGGAAAAAAAGATGTCAAAAAGGACCAAACTATGAAAAAAACATACAAAAATGATGACTTACCTCTAAGACCTTGCATAAAGATTCCACCGCATCCCATTTGTCCATTGACATCATGATACCACCGTAGTATCTGGTTTTACGGTCAGCGATGAGGATTGAATCAACCACCTAGAATAAAAAGGATAGGTTGGTCAAAACATTCATTGACAACTAGATGATTAACAAAACTTATGCCTTGAGCCGCCACAAGCGCAGAATACATTGCAAGATCAATGTTCCATCTGACCCCCCAACCAGCAATTGGTGCGGGTCCATGGTAGTTCATCTGCTTTGCACGTGCTTTGAACTCCCCTTGCCGGGCGTTGCTACAGGTAAGTAATGCGTTGAATTCCTTCAACTTTGAAAGAATTAATGTCAGCTGCAGCATAATCAAGATAAAAAGATAAAGATGAAAAAGCACAGAAGGGTCAAGGAACTTACCTTCATTGCACCCTTTCTTCATAAGTTGGATATTCATCGGTATCTTCATCATCATCAGTCAATCTTCTGGTGCTACGTTGTGATTCAAGGAAGTCTTCATCGTCGTCAGATTTGTCATAGTTGATTGCATCCTTGGTCAAGTCGTCGTTGAGAGTCACAATGGGGATGGGGATAGAAGTATTAGGAGGGGTAGTTGGCTTGACGTGTCCAACTGCGAGTCCAAGGACCTTTAAACCTTTCTTGACAACCAAACCTAGCTTGTGAGTGTAGCACCGGACGTGATTCCGCGCCAAGTCCCATTCAACGGGATCATCACACTCGGAGAACATAACCTCCATTTCCCGTGCCATTGTATTGTTTGACAAACCAGAATCTGTTGCCTGACCAATCATGTGTCAGACAGAATCATAAATTGAAAAATGTTAGTTTTTAAGTCAGGCTACACTACAAGGAACAAGAGAACAAAAAGGAAAGATAGAAATACTTATTTTTTTATGAAGGCCATGTTTGATCAGGAAGCGTGCCACTGGTTGCACCAAGAGATAGCCAAATTTGTTCCATGAAACAAGTTTCAATGTAAGGTGAACTGATTTATACTTCCAGTCTTGGTCAATCAAGTTGGCTGAAACTCCTATGAATGTGTATCAATTACCTTTTGTAGTCCATACGTCATGTTGAATGGAGAACTTTGAGGTGTTTTCCTATTAGAAACAACCCATGTTAGATCAAAGAGATGGGAAAGGATTTGAGATTTGAATCAAAAGAGACAATTTACTTACTGAGACTAAAGCAATTTCTGCTGAGCTCAAGCTATTATACAACTCCTTCACAACACCAGCTGCCCAGGTGGGGGTTCTTAATGCAGCACGACAATTGGCAAGCTTAAAAGCTGCGCGTAGAGGCAGATCATAGAATCGATTAAAAGGGAGGGCATGTTTCATGACCCACATCACCAGGACGGTGTTGCACAGATCCACACTAAATGTGGCCTGTGACAGGAAGGAGTCCAGAGTAGGTTGACCGGCAAGCTCATTTGAAGCGGTGGCGTTGGATGCTTGCTCTTGAACCCAGGTGGGAGGTAGGTCCAAGCCAGCGTTGATGGCCGAAGATTGTCAAGGGCAGCAAGAACGCCCCTTCGCGCCATCACAGTGAGCGTAGAGATTATAGTAAGTGCAAAGACCACGTATGAACGTGCCTGCGCACCACCAACACACAAAAGAACACGGATAATTTCCAGTCTAGAGTTTGAAAAGAGAAGGTGGAGAAAGAAAAGAAACAACTTGAATGATAGTCAAACTCAGATGTTGATGAGTTGAAGAAGTCACTTACCTCGCCTGTAATGTGGGTTGGCGGATGGTAGTACTTAAGCAATTGAGAACCCCGTCCGTTTTGCGCACGACAAACACATGGAGTTTCAACCACTTTGATCTCAGAGGAATCCTGGTTGATTTCAATACAAGCTGGTATTCCAGTCTAAGAGGTATGGAAGGAAGATTGAATGAGTCAGTTGCAAACTTTCAAGGATAGAAATGTAAAAGCCAATCAGGAAATTAGAACATACTGGTATGCCTACTGCCTTCTTGGGCTTCTTGGCTGGCCCTCGCGGTAGGCCTGCCGAGGCACCAGAGCCTCTTGGGCATCCCTTTGAATGAGATCACTTTGGTTTTGCAGACTTCTTGTTCTTTTTTGGTAACATTGCTAAGAAAGAATTGGCTTGAGTAATCTCTACAATGGATTCAAAATCAGAGTCGTTGCAGGTGGGTTCGGAACCATCAAAAGAACTATTGAGATTGATGGTGGGTAAGTCACTATTGCTATTATCAATCAAAGGACGTTGAACGGAGAGTCTTGAATCAGGGGACTGGATCACAAAGCCAGGTTTAGGAGCAGGAGGACTACGGGGGCGAAGAACAGGACCAGACAATGGAGGAGCAAGTTTTGAATTCAAGGGAGCCATAGTTTTGATACTAATCTTTTCAATAATTGGGATTGAAAACAGAAAAGGATGATAGTGTGGTTTACAAGACTTCGAACTATTAGATTTATATAATTATATATGAGTACATTGTTATAAAAAGTGCTACAGAGGATGAAACAAAAGTAGAAGCTCACTTTATATAGAATTGAAGAAAGTTGTAAGCACCCTCAATCGGCTCTGATACAATCAATCAAGTCAAAGTGGAGGGAAAGAGGGTGCTGACGTGAGTTTAGATTTCAACTCAAAGTAAGATGGAAGAAAGGGCGTACCAAATAGTCCTGTTGGGATATCAAGAGCATTGGTTTGGTGAAGATTTGGCCAGAGATCGTATGTGATAATGCACATATTAGAATGTTGTTTGGCAGGTTTTGAAGGGGCTCTTGGCAATGGTTGAGATATACGGTGATCGGGCTGTGGAAAGGGGTTGTATGGGATAGATGAGATGTTGAAAGGTGGTCTGATATTGGTACCCATCTCGACATCTGTCCATCTGGAATGACCCTCTGCAAACCGCTCTGAGAGGAGGCTGCGGGGCGCAGATTTGACCCGCCGCACTAATTTCCCCATCCGCTCGAAAAAAAATCCACAAGGCAGAGCAGTGGCAGGTCATCCGGGGGCTGAGCCCCCAAACCTCTGTAGCGGCCGCAGGGCGGACCGCTCCGCACCCGCTTTTTGCAGCGGGTCGCTTCAACTGTTGCTGGAGCAGGGAAATACAAACGTATGATGAACAAAATTTGAATGTGGAAAATCTTTACCCTGAATGTGACCGGTGTGGGAATCAAAACACGTCTACC